TGTATCATGCAATTAGCTATTTTCACCTTTTACACACAGAGTATGCACAGTATGTTACAGTGGTTCAGCTTTTAATTTTTAACTGTATTTTTATTGGTTGGTGTCGTATGTGAGCAAATGCCACAATACAGTATATAATTTGTATACATTTACATAGGGTTATCTATATTTTATAATTCATAACTGACTTAAGATAGGTATACTTCCAAAGTAGGAATTCCAAAATATAAAAGCTTATTCACATACTGGTCCACCCATAAGCACATTATAGTTCCAGGTGTTTTAAACTGGCTCCCACATTTCTTTGTCAAATAAATTCCTTTAATAGTTTTAAGCCAGAACCTTGCTTTGCATTTAGCCCTCGCTAAGAACTGGGACATTGAATAGGTTACAAAATATGTTTATCTACAAATTAATAAATATTTTATATACTAATCTTATTTAGATGCCTAAAATTTGATAAATTGAAGCTGGACATAATCTCATAGTTTAAGATAGTACAATATGATTTTACTAGGTTTTACACTGACATTTTTTTACTTTACTGGAACCCTTGACTTCCTACTCAGATTTCTCTTTGAATGTTACATCCTTTGTGCTTCATGCCCCCAGAGTGCATAATGTTCACCTATCAATTTCAAACTGTGTGTATTGTCGAGCTTTACAGACAGACTCAAGGCTGACCATATGCTTGGCCTCTTCTGAAAGAATATCAAAGGTAGGAGAAGTAGTTGAAATTTTTATCTCTACTTCCATTACAGTAACATAGGAAAAGGCTTGTAGATCTATTGAGCTTCCTGGAATCATACATTTAAAATATTTTGTGTATACAAACACTGTGTATTTGGGGGCATGCAACCACAAAATGTGCAAAACTTGATTTGAATCTGGATAATAAATCTGAAACTGATTTGAATAATAAATTAACTAACTGTGTCGACTCAAAAATGGACCTGGTCATTATTGCAGACTGCACAATGAAGGCCTCTGCTCACTTTGCTGCAGTCAGAAATGTGTATGGAAAACTCGTATGAAGAGATTTAAGAAAGGAGATGAATACGAAGGGCCATAATTTAAAAAATGTTTTAGAGAAAGTAGACTGAGAAAAGGAAAACTGACATTACCCATAACACAAGAATGTTGAGCAGTCAATGAAACTGAGATAAGGGAAATTTCAAAAGAGATAAAGGAAAATATTGTTTCATACATGTGTTGAAAATGTGGAAGTAATTGCCACAGGAAGTCTTTCAGGCCAATAACAGTCAAGGAAAAGGACTGGACATTTATATGGCTATCAAGAATATCCCAATATATAATTAGGAATACATTTTGTGAAGAGAAATGTATATCTTATGTTTCAGGATTTAAGCCAGTCTTTAGCCATTAAAGATCAGGATGAGACCTAATGTTGGGGAGATTATTTCACTTCTGCCTTCTAACAAGAGTCCCCCCAAGACATCTGTTGGTGGCCACTGTCAAAGATAGGATACTAGACTAGGTGTATTGTGGATAAATTAGTAGTCTTCACAGTTCATTTCTCAAAAGTCAAATGCTTTTGGCATCCTCCTCCCCACTAATGACAAACCTGTAACCTTACTCTAAAACTGTCAAGTTCTTCCAATCTTTCTTCCCAACACCATCACCCTTCAGACTGTTTCTCCTTGCAACCTAAGAGACACTTTTTTCTAGGAGCCTGCTGCCAGCAAGGGTAACAAAAAAGGATGCTGACACTATTTGCACTCAGAACTCACATCACTTAATAGTTCTACCAGTAATCTCACCAGTGCACAGCCTCACTTATGTCTAATCCTAGTAACAGGTATTTTCTTTTATATGTTTAGAAAATTACTGCAATAGTGACTAAAAAAAAGCTACCGAAATATAATACTATCAAGCTGCAGTGATGGTTAGGTTTACAGGCTGCTCCAAGATTGCTAGTTCAAGATTTGGTAATTTTTAAAAACTTCCATTATAATTACTTTTTCTTTTTTTAAAAAAAACAACCCCCGAGAGAGATGTCTGCCTATATACAAAATCTATGTGTTAGAAAATCTTCTAATCTTCATGTAAGGAAGCTATCAGCATATGTATGCAACACGCAGCACTGCCCTCTGGCAGAAATGAATTGGAAGCACTTGAAAGCAATCACAGCCAGTCCAGGCAGTTCAATCAGAAGCACTTCATGATCAATGCTGTAGAAAAACCAACACTTCAGCTGATAGATGTAACATTACCAAAATGGAACAAATAAAAATAAAACAAATTAAGAACTCCAAAGATTAAATCAGATAGTTTATTGTAAACAGGGTAACTAGCACTCTGTCATAATGGCTGTGTCACATGCACCCACTTTGATATCAAGTTCTCAAAATAGCACTTCAAAAATTACTGTAATCTAATAATTTATGCTTTGTTACATAAACTTAATTTAACAAGCACTGAACTGAATTACAGTGTATTCTAGGTAGTCTGTTATTGCTTGTAGACACTGCAGCTTTGGATCCATTCAAATGAATCCATTTTTATGCCTGAGTTATCAAACTGTACTGCTATATCAAACTCAGAAACTGTAAAATGCTGGAGAACACTTAAAAGCAATTAAAAGTTGCTGGCAAACTACATGAGTTCTCACTTACACTCCAGAACTTCAAAATACTAAATGTTCTTTTCTGGAAAAAAATGATTTGCGGTACTGTGTTAAAAATAACATCACTCCAATCTTTATGTAAAGAAATGGGTGTGTGATTGTATGTGTGTTTGTGTATATATATATATATATATTGTTAAGATTAAAAATCATATCACTTTATAATTTTTATACAAAATAGAGGCTGTTTTTCTTCACCATAAGAGTGCTACATTTAAATACTAAATCCCAAAATATATAATTTGTATAGTGTGCAGTCAAAATTCATTTTAATACTTATAATACATATATTTTAATCAATAGGAAATTATAAACAAAAATGCATTATGGGTAAGAAATCCATAATGTGTGAAACGTTCAGGAAGAATATGGTAAAGAGTAAAAAATAGCAGCATTTCATTTTTTCCTATAGTGTGTTTATATTTTTTCCTTCAGGCTAGAGAGATGCTGTTGGTCTTCATCGACAACAGGTAATATCACATGGAAACAGCACATTTTCAAAACTATTCTTTGTAAACACAATTTATGCTGTAAATCTTTGAACAGCATTTATGCTGATAGCATTTATTCAATTAAAGCAGCATTTCTTGGATAAACAAACTCAGGCCCTGATTCTGTAAACACTTTAGCATGTCTATCATGTTACTCGTAAATAATTCCACTGAAGCCAATATTTTGCTTTATTCCTATGAGTAGTCCTATTAACCTCAATGGGCTAATGGGACTTCCTCATGTGAATAATGCTACACATGTATTTAATTAGGACCGTAGGTTCGGAGTCTGTTAACAGTGGGCAAAGTCTCAAAAATGTCAATGATATTTATAGTACTAAGTGCTTTGTCTGGTAATAAATGTTCACATGATCAGGTCCTTAAGTTTTCAGTGTTTAGCACATCCTGACCTGCCTAAGCATATACAGTAAATTCTATAACTTCAAAAAGCAAGATTGTTTAATAACACACAAAATATTTTAAGACTAAAATAACTTTAAAAATCCTTTTTGTATGTTATGGCCTACTCCTGCCCCTTTTACTGAGGCAGAACACTTTTGAAGTCACTAAGCTCAGTAGAGGGTGACAGATTGGATTCATTATATACTATTCTGGTATTTTCTATACAAATTTAAATTATGAATCGTACATGTAGCTACTGTGTTCCTGTGCTAATTTTGTAATGTAACCTGAATTAACTCTTGTGTGTTATACTGCTGTTTTGCTCTGAATGTCTGAAGGACAGAAAAAGGAGTATGAAGACTAAGCATCTAAGCCATGTAGCCCTATACGGGAAACTCAATTGATGCATTCATGGGGCCAAACTTGACTTCAGCTGTGCTTATGTCAAAAACTAAAGCTCTGATCCAGTAAAGCACTTATGCACATGCTTACAGTGATGTACATTCTTTAAGTGTTTTACTGGATTGAGGCTTAATATAACAATGTATTGAGCAAATCACATTGGAGACCTCATCCGGTTTATGAACAGCTGGAAACAAACCATGTCAATTAAAATATTTTTTATTATTTAACCAGAAGAAAACAACTCAGAGCAACCCTGAGAAATTGAATGAGGTATTAACAATCAAGAGATAAGCATAAAACTCACAAAAATAAGATGTACTACCTAAGTGTTTCCAGCATTTTACCAGTTCGAATATAAAATGTCCCCAAATTTGTATATAAAGATTAAAACCATGCCAATATATTTAATTATTTTTCTTCTGCTAAACACAATTCCCTTGTTTATTATTTTGTTGCAAAATTTCCTCTTTTCCACTGACGTACTTAAATCTTAAATAGAAAACAAGATTGTTGCATTGAGGATCAATTAATAAAAAGGTATAATTCAACACTTTATCCTTCAAAAATGTCAAAGCCTCCTTTTTATGAAAAGTTTTGCTCCTCTCTTTTCCCCAAAAAGGCTTAATACTTTTTTCCTGAAAAAAACCCCACGATAATTATTACAGCTATTCTCAATGACCTTTTTCAACAACATGGACATTTTAAGCAATATCAGTTTGTTCTGGAGGCTTCTTCATATTCAGTTATCATAATGAAAATTTTAAGGGATATACTATTTAAAAATATACCTCATCTAAAAGAGCCTTTAATATTCTGGTCGATTTTGGTTTTCAATAGTTCTTTTGTAATATAAATGATACATAACTACAACTAATTTTCTAATTCTCTGTATCCCTATCACACCATTGATGCCGAATGAACCAAGAGTGAATCAGAGATTCTCACAACAGACAGGATTATTTATCCTAAAAATCTTTAAATGTTTGTTCATGATGAAACCCCTTGAAGACACAAGGAAACTGATCCCTTTGCATTTCTTCATCCATTGGGATTCTTCACAGTTTTGAAGTCATGACATTTTTATGTGGTTTGTTTTGAATCACATCAGGCTGCAGAGAAGTGCATTTGGAAAAAAAAAATTGCTCCGTATCAATTAAAATGAGAAATTGCTCACTTTCACATTTTATCACTTATTTGTTCTATCCATATACACACAAATCCTATTTTGTGCTCTCTTTTACCCTGAAATAATATCATCAGGTCCTCAAAAATATATTAGCATTACTAGTTACACTCACAACGTTATAAAATGGCTTTTAAGCTTTGAATCTAATCCGAGCTTTCAGATTTATTCCAAATTATGTCAGGTTATATTTATAATACACTTATTCCATAGTGTGGGTGCTCGGTAAACATATACTGCTTTCATAATGGATTAATAGGGAGAAGAGGGGAAAAAAGAACTGGAAAGCCCAGCATAAAGCAGAAGTTTCCTCTTCTGTTTCAAAACACAAGATAAAATCTGAACCTACAGAAGCAGTGTGTTTGTAAAAAAGTAGAAGTTCTGTGGCAGCTGTAAGCCTGAACCTCAATTTGTCATGCTAATGTCACAATCAGGATTTCAAAAAGTTTGTACCCTCAGTCAGTGCCCATTTCTATATACTTTCAAATAATTTTTCCTATCCATATTTTTGTTTTGTTTTGTTTACCTGTGGCAAGAGGGGTGCTGGTGCCAGATTTACGTCATTTTGGCTTGGGAATTCTCCAACCACGGGACCTATTAAACAAAAGTAACTTAGAAAGACAGTAGCTTCCAAAATTTCTTCTCAAAGCAGTTCTTGAACGTTAGATAAATAGCTAAAAGTATAGCTCGTGAATTTTAAAATACCTTCCTGTGGTATTTGCCTTTGTATTTCACTGCTATCTTTAGCAATGCAACAAACTAATCCAAGTTTAAAGTTCAGAATAACTGCTAAAGCTGGAGTGGCTTTGATAACTCATGCTACTTATACTTAGCAGAACTCACTGCCTAATTTATATGGCTAAATAATTCCAATCAAATAGTTAAGAGAGTTTTAAATAAAAGACTTCATGAACGCTAGTCAATACCACTTCTAACCATTGTCTAGAAGAATCGGTATTTAACGGATAGATACATACATCATTAAGTGAATTTGTGTGAAGCAATGATAACATCTCATAGTCAGTTGCAACAATCATACATCTATGTTCCCTATGTTTTCCAGGAGCTACCCTAAATCCTGCACCTATTACTCCTTCAGAGAAAGATGGCAGACAGACCATTCTAATTTCATTTTTACAGTTTAAAAACATATTTTCCTACTCATGCATTTTATTAACAGCTAACAGAACTTAATGAAGATTAGTCAATCATGAAAGTTAGAAATGGGAAAAATTATCTCAGAGCCTCAGTTTCACAACACACACACAACATTGTGCAAACTGGCAAATGATTTTGCACAAAATATCATGGAGATAATTAGTTAAAACTTTTTAAAATGTTTTTATATTTTCATCCTAGAGTAGAACAGGATAGGTAAATGACAACTTAGTTGTTTTGCAACAGATTAGTTGATTAATTGGAAATAAAATCTAAATAAAATTATCAATATGTATATTTCAAATATAGAACAATGTGTTTCATATTACCAGTTGGAGTTTTATATATTTCTTTCCTCAAAAATACCCTAATAACAAACTGACTTTTAGCTGATGATCAAGGTGTTACACTCCAGAATGGGTGAAGGAATGACAGCTCATCATCTTTACTACGGCTGGAAACCCACAACAGTGTGGACTTCCTTCAAATTTATAAATAACCTTGTAGAAAATAACTGGTTGAAAACACCTTCCCCCAAGAAGCCGTAAGTCTCCTTTCCAGAATTTGGTTTCATAGTGCATTGCACAACACACTGCTGTTTGACTTAAAGAGGATTAAAGTTTAAAAAACTACACAATACTTACAGGAATCCATTTCCCTTGCAAGGACGTGTACGGATACCTTGTGTCTCCTGGGAGCATCTACTGCCAACATCTCCTAAAGAAAGCAGCAAGGTCAGTTATTGCACAACAGAATCTAAGTGACAGCTAGTTATCATCAAAAAGGGTGGTTATATGTTGTGTACATATTATAAGAGATAACAACCATTTAATGCACAACTTTAGTGTGCTTAATGTTAGTCACATTTTGATTCTTTGAATCTCATGTTGGGCATGTCTCTGGAAATTTAACCAAAGTTTCAGTCCTTCATAGCTCTTAATCAGGAATCAGCAGTGAAATGCTGTCTCCAAAACCAATGAGAATTTTGCCACTGACCTCTATGGGGTCAGGTTTACACACTAGTTCTTTGGTGCTTCAGAGTTTCTACAGGGCTATAACAGCAGATCCCAGCACCACAGACATCAAAATCAATTGGGCTAGTTCACCTAACTATATAAATATTTCTAGTATCCTTTCCTGAATCCTGGGGCAACTGAATAACAAACATTAAAATAGAAAGAAATCTACTTCAACTGGATGGAGTAGTATCACAAGAGTACAGTATATACATTGGACAACTAAACAGGTTAACACTTATTCACCACCCGTTAAAGAAATCTTACACTAATTTTTATTTGCAGTCTTGAATTTTTAATGAGTCTCTCATTCTTATAAAATGCAACAGGAGCAAAACGATACATGTATTAATTTTCACTATCACTAATATAAGAACAGATTTTTAAATAAGATAAAGTGATGCTTTAGTTAAAAGTAAGTGAAGAGATACTTTGGGTAGCGGAAAGGATAAACAAAACTCAAAGTTGAGCAGAAACAATTTTTGACATTAATGCCTGCATATCAGCCATATCTGCCTCTTCATTCTTGCTGGTTTTTCCTCATATTTAATGTTCATACTGCGGATTATTTCTAACTGATCTTCCCAGGCCAATTCCTATGTCTTCTAGTTGGTGAGCAAGGAATGTGAGTACTGTGGATGGATGGCAACATTTGCAAAAGCATAACCTTGGAAGATAGTTTAAAGAGCCGTATGTAGAAAGTGTCTCTAAGTAGAATTTGTGGCTATTCTGCATAAAAATTAATGCTATTTATACTCTCATGTATATAAAATAAGCACAAGAGTGTGTGTTATAGCTGTAATATACAAAACATTTTCATTTATCTTACTCAAAAATGGCTAACCTGGCTTTGCTCAAGTACTCTAAAATCAAAACAAATGTACCCTCACTTCTTAAGCAGAGACCAAATCTGAAAAATTTCAGCTGAAATAGTGAAAAGATTCAGAAAATTATGAGTGACTAAAGAGTACATTTTACCCTCTAATTTTACTGGTAAAATGAAGGTTGCTATATAACCTTAACCATAGTGGGTTGCTTCCATTTCCGCTACAATGTACGTGATCCAATTCAGCTTTATTTATCTTTTTGTATCTCAGGCTATGCCTAGACTACCCGTTTTTTTGTTGTTTTTTTTAAAGTAGCCTTTAAAAAAAAAAAAAAGTCACCTGTGTCCAGACTGCTATGACGTTCTTTCAAAATTAAATCAAAAGAACGTGCAATTTTTTCAACAGCGGTAAACTTCATTTTACAAAGAAGAATGCTTTTTTTCCCCGAAAGAGCTCTTTTGAAAAAAGACATTCTTGAACGCAAACAGGGCTTTTTCAAAAGAGAGCATCCAGATTGCCTGGGTGCACTCTATTAAAAGAGCAGGTCGCTTTTTCGAAAGTGTTGCTGCTGTCTAGACTCTTTCGAAAAAGCCTCTTTTGAAAAATACCTCTTTCGAAAAATCCTCTTTCGAAAGAAGCCTGTAGTCTAGATGTATCCTCCTGGCAGCCAGTTAACAGAAAAGTTTCCTTTGAATATGAGTGATAGAGAAGGAATGTAACCCAGCATCAGGGACTGTAACTAGCTATGGAACAGAGACCACTACAATGAGTTTAATCTATCAAATGGTTGACTGAAAAAGAAATCCACAGGAGATAATATAGAACAAACAAAAAGTGTATATTGACTAAAAAGAGATTTAAATTAGTGAGGACGGTTAGATTGCTTATATGAGAAACTGTAATGTGAAAAAACTAAACCAGAAATTTGTATATAAAAATTGTGAATATATAGCTAATATAAAAATAAACATGTGTAACAATGTATTAATATATACTATGGATTAAAACATACTGAACGTGCCTCTAGCTAAACATCAATTGCTTCCTTCCCATTAAAAACTGTACTAACTAGATTCAATGGTTAGGAAAGATGAAGGGAGAAAATCATATTGGCACAGAATGGTTTGACTTAATTGCAATCATACTTTTGAACTATGTAATCAGTTAGCTTAATTATGATATATTTGTATCAATATTTAATAAACAAATTTTGTTATGACAAATCTATTGAAACCTAGTACATGATGTAAAGTGAATTCCTATCAGGAGAGACTAGAAAGCAATACAATTTTATAATCTATCTAGAAACAGATATAGATATAAATATATTTTAGAGAGTTTGAGAGTGAGTCTGTCTGTGAGTCCATCTGCCTGTCTGAAGTCTGTTCAAGAACTCCTCCCAAATGGTAAGAGCTAACACCACCAAATTTGGCATGCAGTTTCCTTTTATCATAACTTAAAAGCAAGGTCAAAGTTTGGTTGTGCTAGGACAATGGGAAGTGCCTAGAATGAGAATGTTTTCTAGTACATGTAAAGTGACCACTGGGTGCTGCCACACCAGCAGAAGAGGCACCAGCTGGGGATGGAGCTCCACATGGTCGGCCAGCCACTCAACCGGGTAAATGGCCCCCCTGCCACAAACAGTACTAGACGGGAGGTGGACTCCCATGCCCCTCGTCACCGGTCCCACCGCCCCAGGCCTGGGACCACCGTGGGGGTTGGAAAGCAAACCCCATTCCACCGAAGAAGCAGCAAGCTAGAGGAGGCCACTGGAGGCTGGGGCCAGCCTCTGGAGCCTTTTCCCCCAAAAGGAGCTGCAGGGCAGGGGGAGGCAGCTGCAGGCTGCTGCCAGTCCCCAGAGCCCTACCTTCCCCTCCCAATGGGCTGCAGGACAGGGAAGGGGGCTGGTTAAACTAACCAGTTTAACTGGTTAGCTGATTAAATGCGATTTTACATCCCTACCCCCAGCCTCTCCAAGATTAGCATGAAACGCAAGCTCCTATAAACCAGGACACTCCAACTCAGACACTCCAACTCAAAGCAACACCAGACCCTTCCAGTTCAACAGATGCAAAACACTTATCTCCACGTTTACAATAGTCCATGTCCCCCCATACACTTTTCAAGATCCATGAAGCCTTACGTATGCCTATCACAACAGGTAGTGTACCTCAATCTGTGCATTAAATGATCAAACAATAATTATGTGGATAGGAACAGACAATTACACTTGAACCAACTTAATCCAGATGTCCCTGATCCGAGAACACCTGTTGTTCGGATCCTGACGGGGAGGAGGAAGCAGCTCTGTATGCTGCTGCTCCCCGTCCCCACCAGCTGAAGGAACGGCAATGCAACAAAGTGTTTGTCTGGATGCCTTTCCCCCTGTGCTCCCATAGCAGCGGAGCGTGCGGAGTCATGTTATGCCAAACATTCTGTTCTACTTTCCATTTGCTGTGACATTGGATGTTCTTTCCCAGATCTGAAGAATTCTGTGTGGCTTGACAGCTTGTCCATCACCAGCAGAAGTTGGTCCAGTAAAACATATTACTTCATCTGCCTTTGTCTAACTAATTTATATAATGACTATATAGGCTATGTCATTAAAGGAAAATAACTTGGTAAGTAATCTGTTGTTTGAATCAGTCTATGACTATTATCCTTAGTCAATCTATGATGGGAAATTGCCAATAAATGGGTCTTAAAATTTGTCTAGGTCTCATTAGATAGAGTCCATAGCAAAATTAAAATAAAAAGCACAACAAGGAAAAATCTTCGCAAGAACACTGAAAATCACCCAACAGCTTACTACTTCATAAAAAAAACCAAATTCTTCTAATTTGTTTTAAAAATGTATTTTCTGCATGAACAGATAACATTTAAGCTGCTGATGGTGATGAAAGCGTATATACTTCAAACACACTAACATATGTAATTGAATTCTCATATTTTTGAAGATCTGAATAAGTCTTCTCTATTTTCTACTTTCATGAGTTTTTAGTAGTCAACCTCTAAATATCTGCCAGGTTAAAGGAAATTAATTATTTTTTTAATCTGTGCTGGATGTATTAAATTTTGAGTTTGTTTTCTGTATTTGCCCAACCAGCCATTTATGGTCTGTAGCATTTTCCAGAGGACCATGCACTGAATTAATTATTTTGGAATAAAGTTATTTCCCATGGAACTATCATTGTCCCTGACTGAATCTGATGTGGTCTACAGTCACTAAAAGTCATTACTATCTAACAGTAAGTCCGCAGTATTTTATCTAATTAAGCTGTGGGAGGTCACACCTCACAAATGGCAACCAGGTGCTGTACCACTTCCTTCAATTCCAGTGACCCTAGTGGAGAAACAGGTCCATGATCTGTTTCTCAGAAGAGCCATTGGTCAGTGAGGTCTGGTGAGAATTCTTACAAATTTCTGTATCTTTGCAAGAATATTTCAAGTGCTTCTGAATTAAAAAAAATGGTAAAATTGCATTTCCTTGTGGAAAACAGTAACATTTATACAATAGTGAAGATTTTTTTACAGCATGAATTTCCAGTGTGTCTGTTATGATTTCAGGTAGGGGGAAAAAAAAGCAGGAACAAATGAACTCCCTAAGAATTTCATTAGTGATAACAAAGATAAGAGAATCTTAGATAAATATACTAGCCTGCAATTCACAGAAATAATTCCAAGCATATTTTCTTTTAGTGCCTATGTTTCTTAGTAATAAAGTTCTAAATATATGACAAACTTACCTTATAGAACTGTATGATATCATCCTTGGTCAGGGTCTTTAGATACGCCACTTCAATATTATCTGAACAACAAGTTTTAATTAAAACAAGTCTGCAAATAATAGCTGGTTATAATCATGGCATTTGTTCAAAGTACTTTTCTTTCACATTTAGACAGGGCAACTGACTGCAAATTATATGCTTTTCATTCTTAACTTACAAGGTACCCCATTTGAGTCTATGAAAAATAAGTAGCAGTGGAAGCTTGAAAAAAAATTCACACAAAATGAACCTGTTTGATTGAATGTGCTATAAAGGACTAGAAAACAGCATATACTTAAAATAAAAGTACTGCTAGAACAGAATAGTATTCATTTTCTAAAAAGGAATATCTATTTCTGAATTCCATCTTCAAAAAAAAAAAAAGTGAACAGATCCATAACAGATACTGACTACATAGATGACTTTTTATTCAGTTGTTATAATCTGGGAATTTTTATTTAACAAATAGCAAGATGGCATGAGTTTTAACATATATAATAGAAGAAAGAAAATGTGAATAGGCTTTAGTGGTCTGAAATGAAAAGAAAGGTCTTAAAAATGAGGAAGTGACTCAATAGCTGATGTATATTACTAAATATAGATATGCTAAAATGAATGTAAATCCATTATATAACCACACTATAAAAGTGTAATTACAGAAACATTGAGTCTACCATAAGGGGCAGCATAAAAAAAAAGGAGCAACTTTCAAATGAGGAGACTTGGGACAGGAGGATAAAGTTGAATAATTAAAACACGTAGGGTGATGAGTAAGTGACTAGAAAATCAGAGGCAGATTGGCATTGGTCCATGGTGAGGTCTGAAAAACAGAATGAATTTTAAATTGAATTCAGGGATGATGGGAAGCCAGTGGGACTTTTCAGCTTAGAAAAGAGGAGACTAAGGGGGGACACTAGAGAGGTCTATAAACCCATGACTGGTGTGGAGAAAGTAGAACATGAAAAATTATATACTTGCTCCCATAACACAAAAAATAGGGGTCACCAATTGAAATTAATAGGTAGTAGGTTTAAAACAAATAAAAGGAAGTATTTCTTAACACAACACACAACCTGTGGAACTCCTGCCCAGAGGATGTTGTAAAGACCAGGACTTTAATATGGTTCTAAATAGGAATGTTAGATAGCGTGTAAATTGAACAGTTGTGTAACTTCATCAACTTTCAACAGTTACACAATTATTCAATAGTCCCTAGGGACAGGGCTGGTAGCCAGTGTGCTCTCAGCCCCACTCCTGGGGAGTCCCCTGCCACCTTGCACTGCTGCTTCTGTTTTTCTTACCTCTGTCAAAGTTATACTGCTGAGAAATTATTTCTCCCCAGTATTTAGCACACTCTGCAGACAACTTCTTTGGTTTGTCTAGGCGACGAATTGCTAATGCTTGGATATGTTTCTGGAAAGCTTCTTCTGACATATCTTCAATGCACTTCTCCATAGTTTTTAGGAAAGCTTCAACCCTGCTTTCTAAGTAGTGTGGTGGTTTTTCTGACTGAATAATAAATCGCAGTCCTTGTATGCCATTAGCCCGTCGTGGACCACTGAACACAATGTAACCTTGAGGAAAAAAAATTGCAACTGGTTAACTGTGTCTATATCAATATCCAGTAAAAAAATGTTTCAGTCTGCCTTCTCTTCAATGAATTCTGGCCGTTATCAATGTAAGGTACAGTAAGCATTCATTCCTTATTTGTCCTATGTCAACAGGCGACACACCTTGTCCCACATTTTATCAAGTTATTCAAAGTGTCATATACTAGAAACTAGGGATGTAAGAGTTTAACCAGTTAACTGGTTAATTGATAGAGTTGCCACTTATCAGTTATCCCACTAGTTCAGGTTTTCATAAGACCAGGAGCCGCAGCAGCCATAATACCCCCATGGGCCCAGGGCACCGGCAGCCTGCGGCCTTGGCAGCACTCTGGCAGTCCTGTCAAACCCACAGGCTGGGAGTGATAGCTCTAGCAACCTCATGGGGCCGAGAGCTGCAGGAGTCATGGAAGCCCTGCAAGGTTGGGAGCGATAGCAGCCCTTTGGGGCTGTGCGCGCCAGTGGCCCCAGCAATCCCGGCAGCCCCAGGTGGTTAACCACGTAACTGACAGAAATTGTATCAGTTACACAGTTTGTATTTTTTAGATCCTTACTTCACGAGGCATAAGGGAGCGGTCGACAAAGGCTTCCTTTGTCGACCGATCCACGTCTAGACTGCCGCGCTGTGCCGCATCAGCTGATTGTCGGCACAGCGCGGTGGCCATTTTTATTTTAATGAAGCGGGGATTATTTAAATCCCCACTTCATTGACTATGTCGGGTAAACAAGTTTACATTGCTCCGTCGATGGAGCCATGTAGTCTAGACATACCCTATAGTTTAAAACTTAAGATTCTCAAGACTGAGAATCATGATCCTTGCTGAAATCCATACAAACAGGGAAATTCTTAGTTAAATGACTGAATCTCTAATACATGGCTAATACTTCTATTACACACAATGGACCCACATCTGTAATATTATGCAGTTGTACAGAGCTGTGCCTAGATATTAGAAATGATCCCTCAACTTTTCATATCCATGAAGACATAGGTCAGGTCAGACACTTACTGTTTTTTTATTATCTTTTTTAATCTCCAAATTAATATTCATTTTGAAATATGTAATTTCCAAGATGATAATTTATTTGATATTATAATACTGGGTGACAAGAGGGAATTACCCAAAGTCTTTATTCATCTTTGCAGGGCATTTTGTGCTTGACACTCCTCCATTTGCATCACACATGCATGCACATTGGTCACTTGTCCCAGGCATAACATTAGTTAATCTAAGAACAAGAGCCTTCATAATGAAAAGCTCTATCAACATAATAGCTTTTATCATTATTACAGTAGCATAAAAAATGAACTGTGCGCTGTAATAAGGAGGATATTGGCATAATTCATGTTCAAAAGACTTATTTGTAGGCATTAAGTTACAAGTTGTTCTTTAATGTATGATTTGTGGTTTGGCAGAAGAGATTTCTTTTTCCTTACAATATATTAAAGAAAACATTTCCTGCGGGACAACATAGTGATGTCATGGGTCACTCCGCATCCTGCAGCCCCTCCCTCTGCCCTCCCCTCTGTGCTCGGGAGAGCCATGAGCCATGCAGCCTATGCCCTTTCCCCTCTTCCATTCTTGGAGGCTGAGGAGGGAAAGGGCCCAACCGCTCGGTAGCCAGAGAGGGAGAGAAGATCGTGGGGAGGGGAGGAAAATGGGTCTGGGCTGGCAGGGTGGGGGGTAGGAGGCAGAATGGGAGCCTGGGCTGGTGCGACAGAGAGTAGG